GTTTCTCCAAATGACTTCATACTTATATTGACATGACAGGTAATAACGTAGTGTTACATGTTTCTAGAATGAGAACCCTTGTAAGTTCATTGTATAGGTTTGCTGTGAGCCTGAAATGTCAGCATCTCCTGAAGGATGAGATTTTCCTAGAGGTTATATCCCCTTGCCCGTACATTGCTATCAGTATGATAATTAGTGAAATTTAAAAGAATCTATTTTGATATTAAAAGAAAGTTTTTTGAAAAGGAATATTTACTCTGTATAATTGACTGTGTGGGAAAAATTATTTTCTCAGCTTACACCATGCAAAAGTCAATTCCAGATGGATTAAAGAATTATGTACCAAAAGAAACTATAAACAGCTGGGAGTTTACATGTCTAAATAGGGGCAAAGAAAGCTTTTGTCATATAAAAATGATGAAAGAAATCATAAAAGAAAATGCTGATGTAAACTAGAAACTTTAATTTCTCTCTAACGCATACATTTATGCTAACAAAACCTTTATTTTTTCACATCACATGTAAGAGTTAACTGTAAGATTCATGAGGAGATGAACAGATACTCAGCCTCATTGGTTAGAATGAAAACCCAATACTGTTTCTGTCCAGAGCTACACTTACAAACAGCAAAATGTGGATATGTAGCATAAGTATGTATCTATAGGATAACTTCTCCCTAAAGATGAAATTACTAGGTTTTTAATTTTGAAGATACTGCCAACTTAGACTTTTTGTGGGATTTGTACCAAGGTATGTTATCATTAGTAGTAGAGTATGGTATGGGTATCCTCAGAGTCTTGATGGAATTCTTTGCTGCCCAACTATCTGAATTTTGGCCATCTAAGGGAAAAAAATGCTATGGTAGAGTATATATTTCTCTTATTATGGGCAAAGTAGAGCATCTGTTTTGCCTTAGCCATTTGTACTTTCTCTCTGTATATTGCTCTTTCTCATTCCCTTTTTAATTTTCTTTTGCTTTGTTGGCTTTTTCTAATCTGTATCTGGAAGCCATTTGTACTTTCTCTCTGTATACTGCTCTTTCTCATTCCCTTTTTAATTTTCTCTTGCTTTGTTGGCTTTTTTTAATCTCTATGTGGGAGTCATCTATGGTGTGTGCGTTCATGTAATATTAGTCTTTTGTAATATGCATTATGAATATTTTCTTCTGACATGGTTGTCTTTTTTTCTTAGCAGTTTTCTTTACATTTATGTTATCTAGCAATATAAATGGCAAATAAACACATACCAGACAGTAGAATTAGGAAAGGTCTTAGAAGAAGCAAGAACCAAGGAGGTGCCGTAGTGAGCTAGGTAAAGCCTATGGCAACATCATCAGTGATGTGTACCTATTCAGAAAATGTTTATTGAACACTTCTTTAATGTCAGGAACTGTCCAGAAGTAGAAAGATATTGTGGTGAACAAATCAGATAAAGTCCTTGCCCTTAGGTATTTTAGGTTTACTGGGATGAAACATCAGATAATCAAAAATGTATTATAAAATTACAGTTGGGTGAGAGCATTAATGCATTCTGTGTTATGAGACAATATCATAGAGGGATTTAATTTAAGGAAGTCAGTAGAAATCATAGTGATTATGATGTACACGAAGTGACTGGCATGGAGGGGAGAGAAGAACTAACTTAGGAGAAAATAGTTGAGTGAGAGAGGCACTATTTTGCTGTTGGGGAGGTATTAAGTCTGAGGGTCAGATAAGATTATTTGACTGGAGGGGAGAGAAAGCAAGGTGAAACAGGATAGGAAGTTGGGGGCAAGTCCTTGTAGGGCTTATGGGTATGATGGGGAGTTTAAAAAACTCCTTTGCTAAGAAGAATAGGTTGCCACTGAAGGGTTATAAACAAAGAGGCAACATGATTGACAAGGTAAGTTTAGATGTAGGAAGCAGAAAAGTTAGAAAGACAGTGCAGAAGCAGATAGAAAAGCTAGGAGGTGGTTGTAGACTTGGAGGAAGCATAGATGCATGGGAATGGAAGTATCTAGGGGTTTGAGCAATACTTAATGTTTGACTTGGAATGGGAAGTGAGAGAATGATGCTATGTACAGTGGGATATCATAATCTGAAATGCAACCAGTTTTGGTGGGGTGATGGTAATATTTACATTGGCTATACAGTTTGAAATGTGTTTGAGACAAAAAATAGCTAATCAGATCAAGTCAGAAGTTGTACATATAGACCAAATTTTGGGCTGCAGGTATGTAATGGAAGGCATTGGTACATAGGTAGTAAATCATATCATTGATGCGGATGAGGCATCCTGGGTCAACCTAGAATGAATCTGGATAAAGTTTAACATTTAGGAGCATAAACCAACAAAAGTAGAAGGAACAACTAGAGAAATGGGAAAAGCATGATATACAAAGTAAAGGGAGTATAGAATGTTGGTTTGTTAAGGTGGGTGAAGGCCAGATAGAATCCCATTATATTTGGTGTCTTGGAGGTTGTCAGTGACCCTAGAGTCAGTCACTGGTTTGAAAGCCAAATTTTGGTGGACTGAGGAACAAGTGAGGGGGCAGTGGATACAGTAATGTAATAGTTTTTCTCTTAAATATTTGAGAAGGGAAGGACAGTTTGTTGCTACAAGAGCATAGAAAGTATTTTGTTAAATGGGAGAGAGTGAATATATCAAAGATAAAATATGTAATTGTCAATTTTAAGCTTCTGAGAAAGTGGTAGGCATGAGATCCAGAGTGCGGCTAGAGTGGAGACAGGTTGCATGTTGTGGTGGGAGCAGGGGGCTGAGATGGGGTGTGCAGTAGGTGTGTATTTGAACTATATAGACTTTCTCTGTGCAGTAGGACACAGGGAGACAATGCTACTCACGAAGAATTTCTTGAAGAGAAGAAAGTTGGGGCTTTGAGGAGAAGAAAAATTGAAATTAGACTGGGGATATGTTGACCAATGAAATATAGTTGGATTGCTGAAACAATCAATATTGATGTCATGTATTTATAATGACGTGAGTCTGCCCCATGTTTTATTTCAATAGCCTTCTCTGAAGATGTATGAATAGTGGTAGATTGTCACATTCATCCAGAGTTCATATAGCTAGAAGGTGTGGGTTACTGTGAGCTGGCTGCTAACTGACCACTCATGGGCAACTGGAATGTATTTGCTATCTACAAATCATAACAGAGCATTCTTTGACTACCTAGCCCATATCATGAGGCAGGCCTGGGGATGCCTCGGTGCTGTTGATCTGATTAAGTGACCATCTCCACGGTGATCTTAGGATAACTCAGGGCCTGTGATAACATCACATGTTTTGCTGACGCAAATGTCTCTTTACATATAGTCACGATGTCCCTTTCCCTGTCCCTTGTAAAACTTTGTCCTCATTCCTATCCCATCCTCCTGACTTTATTCCTCACACCATTGTCACATGATCAGCTTTTACTGGCTCATCTGTAACTTGTTCTGTAACTGGTGAGACTAGACAGGGAGATGTTGGATAGTTCACCTTGAGAAGCAGAAAAGAAGATGAATTTCCATGCCTTTGGTATTTTCTGGTTCTACTCCTTTGATTGGGTTGTAGAACAGGAGCCAGCTAACACAGAAGTTCTTGGGAGTCCTGCTATTCTTTTGGGAGCTTCACGCCACAGTGATGGTATGTTGTGCTTCAGGTCCATGGGAGCTGCAGGTTGGCTGGCTCACCAGCCTGTTCCAACCATTTGTTAACATTTTACAGGGCTGAAGTTTTTGGATTTTACTTACCATGAAATGGTAAGTGCTCATTTTTATCATTTAATCATTATATCAAGAAATTTTGTGCTCTTAGTTAATTTAAGTAGTATCGGTACATTTCTGCTGACACATAACTATGGTCTCTTCATTTTGACTCTTGCTATAATGTGTTTTTAGGGTGTGGAGCTATAGTCGGGGACTAAGAACAGTAGATGCTAGCTGGCTTCTATGTGACTTAAACTTTGATTTGGTTTCACCCCCGTTTTTTTTCTTAATAGCAGAAAAGCAAAAGCATGAATAAATTGACTAAAAAAACCACACATATACTACAAGTATTAAGATTTCAGTATACACATATCTGTGTGTTATGTACAAACTCCCCTCTCTCCACTTTACTCAGGGAGTTGATGGGAAGTTCTCTCTGAGAAGTAAACCTAGGTGGGATGAATGATTATAGCAGATGGATGATGGCAAGAGAGTATATGCAAAGTGATTGCTATGGAGGGGTTTGTGCAGCGTGAATCAATGAGTTCATTCATTTTCCTTTAGAGAATTGAGGGCAGGGGAGGGGAAACTTGGGAAGATGCTCTGGTTGAACCAAGGGGATAAATGTGGGCCTAAAACTTTTTCAACCACACCCTGAGTGGTGGTCCAATTTGTTTCCTAATTCTGGTTTGGAAGCAGGTGGTTCAGAGATTGATGTTTAGTGAATGCCAGTGATTCCAAGAAAAAACCAAATCTATCAAAAGGTGGCTGGCATAAAACTGATCGACAAAAGGACATGTAAAATCTAGATGTTCAGATAGTTGGTTGCTCTCTGTATCACCTGGGGTTGAAATTTTTTCTTTGGATTCATGTACGCAAGGTTTTGAAACAATAGGAATTCCTGTGACTTCCCTGAGGTTCCAAACTAATACTGAAGACCAACAGACGTGCAAAAGATTTGAGGTTCTACTTAAAACCTTTGAAACACCTAGAATCCCCTTGTGTTTGGACACCTGCGTTTGCCTGTCACTCATCCTCTGAAGGATGTGGTTTCTCTTCTGGACCAAAGGCAATCAGGACTTTGTTTTCTAACACAGTGGCAGAGATATTCAAAGTTGCTTTATATTCTCTCTGCATAAATGTTTAGATTTTTCTAAGGCAAAAATGGATGGTGCCTGACAAGCTGCTGTGAATCTAAATGTCAACATGATTGGGATTGTGCCCCTGGAAACACTGGCCTTAGCTATATTTTGGGACAGATGCTATCAGCTGTTTTATCATGAGAGGTAATCTTTTGCACTTTCCTGGATGTAGACTGGTGATGTACATCGAGAGAGACAGCAGAAAGACCACTCCAGGCAAGGAGCAGCAGAGTGGCAATGAGTACTTGTCCAGATGCCTGGACCTCCTCATCCGTCACATCGTGCAGGAGCTGCCACGGATCCTGGGTAAATTGGAATCTCATCCGCAGGCCCCTTCCGGCAAGCCTTTCTGAGACTTGGCTTTGGGGCATTGCCTCTTTTTATTTTTGCTTGTCTCTTAATGCCGGCGAGTACGTTGCACTTTTCCTTGAATGCGCAGTCTCAAGATGTAAATTTGCTCCTCTGTTTTTAATAACTTTTTACTTTTTATTTTTTTAAAGATTTATTTATTCATACAGAGGTGGGGTACAGGCCAGCGATGTGGTGAGAGGATTCACCAGAGACAGAATGGGGTACAGAACAGGCAGATCGACGAAGTACACTGCTGAGGGGAGCAGCGGGCAGGTCAGGAGAGGTCTGCCATGCCATGTGGATCTCCTCCGGGACAGGCGTGGATCGAACTCATGCGGAAGTGGCTTAAGCTGCTTTGTGCTGTGCTCTAACCCGCTGCGCCACCAGGGAGGGCCCTGCTCCTCTGTTTTTATGTTATTTTACATCAAAGTCATGAAGTAGCCTGCAATGAGCAGGCTAAAGGTTACAGTGAAAGGCTATCTGTGGCAAAACTGGCATCTTGGGAATGTAAACAAAAGGAAAGCATTTTGCTTACTGCAAATTGAACTCGGTATTATTTTAGGTAACTTCTCAAAATTTCTGTCTGCATAATTCTGAAGAAAAATATTTTGTCGTCAGGTTAGAGCTAAAAATTTATTTACTCTTAAAAGAATTTAGATGCACAGGCATTACTATTTGATATTAAAGAATTAAAAAAAATGTGTTTGGGCCCTCCCTGGTGGCGCAGCGGGTTAAAGACAGCATAAAGAACTTTGCTTAAGCGACTTCCGCATGAGTTCTATCCCCGCCTGCCCCACCTGCCCCAGAGGAGATCCACATGGTGAGGCAGACCTCTCCTGACCCGCCTGCTGCTCCCCTCAGCAGTGACCTTCGTTGATCTGCCTGTTCTGCTCCCCACTCTGTCTCTGGTGAAGCCTCTCACCGCCCCTGTATCTCTGGCCTGTACCCCAGCTCTGTACAAATAAATAAATCTTAAAAAAAACAAAGTGTTTATTCATCCAGAACTGGGGTACAGGCCAGAGGTGCAGGGGTGGTGAGAGGATTCACCAGAGACAGAGTGGGGAGCAGGACAGGCAGATTGACAAGGCACACTGCTGAGGGAGCAGTGAGCTGGTCAGGTGAGGTCTGCGGTGCCATGTGGATCACCTCCTCCAAGGGCCTGGTATAGAACTTGCACTGAAGCGACTGTGGCTGGCTTGTACTACTGTGCTTTAACCTGCTGTGCCACCAGGGAGGGCCCAGAGTTAAAGAATTTTTATATTGAAGTTAAGAGTTCGAAATTTTCTTAGGTTTGAAAACGTTGAAGTAAAAATGCCTAATAATAATTTGCAATGACTGTTTATTCCAGCTTAAAGAAAATCCCTTATCCCATTGTTATTTACAGGAATAAATACGATCAAAGAAATATGTCCTTTTAGTTAAAATCCCATTCCATGCTTTTCCAGCAGATGTAGCTATTAACCCGAAATGTTTAAAATTTTAAATTTGATCCAACCCATTATGTTAATACACTTGGATGCAGAAATTTATAGTGGTGGATATAAGATTCTGAAGACCACAAAGCAAATTTAATTGTCATTTGACTTATCACCCAATACAAAGTTTTAGGTAGCAATCTCATTTTACTTCCATCTTACTCTATTATTAAAAGAACTGTGATCAATAATCTGTTTACTTACAATATTTAAATCACTTTCTCTTGCTTGTAAAAGTGAAAAGTGGCCCTCCCTGGTGGCGCAGCGGGTTAAAGCACAGCACTGAGAATCTAAAGCCGCTTCCGCATGAGTTCAATTCCCACCTGCCCCGGAGGTGACCACATGGTGCGGCAGACCTCTCCTGGCCCGCCTGCTGCTCCCCTCAGCAGTGTGCTTCGTCGATCTTCCTGTTCTGCTCCCCACTCTGTCTCTGGTGAAGCCTCTCACCACCCCTCAGCCTCTGGCCTGTTCCCCAGTTCTGTATGCACAAATAAATAAAACTTAAAAAAAAAAAAAAAAAAAAAGTGAAAAGTGCTCAGGATCGAGACTTGGGAAGTACTAAGAAATGTGATAAGTACTAAGAAAAGTACTCAGAAAAACCATTTCTAAAACCACTGCTCCAAGAGAACCATTTATAAATTATGTTTAAATTTCTGGATACGTGATCAAGGTTATATCCATGATCTCCCCAGAGGCTACAATTTGCCGTTATAATTTCAATTGTTTGTGAATAAATGACACAGCTTCTGCTCACCTCTTTTCTTTGGATGTTAATTGCTGCAACCACCCTGTTAGTATTCTAGCAGTGACTGTTGTGGTTCCTAAGTGTTTGTGGTCTTTTAACCTCCACATGTGCTTGGGGATGTGCTTTGCAGGTGACATTCTTAATGCCCTGGCTAATGTTTCCGGTCGTAAACACCCATCAACAGTTCAAGTGAAACAGCTGAAGATGTGTCTCCCCCTGATGCCTGTAGTGCTTCATCTCGTCACTTCTCAGGTACTGTTATCCAGAAAAAAAAAATAGGGTCAAATGTGACTCCCCTTTTGTAAAACTAGAGCTGAGAAATGTCAACTCAGACAAAATATTTTTACTTTTCCCCTCCGTATACATGGCTTTCAGGATTTAATCTGTGGAAACTCTCATCACACAGGTATTTCGACCTCAAGTTGTAACAGAAGAGTTCCTTTTCAGTTATGGAACGATTCTTGTGAGTAACACTGAATTTTTCACCTTCCTAATAAAAATATGGCTGTCTCTACCGTTTGTGGGATTCAGTGTCAGAATGTGGTAATTTAAAAATCCTTGTGGTATTTATTTGTCTCTAGGGAAGTGACCTTTTTATATTTTTATCTGTTGACTGTAATAAAATTTGACATTTGGAGAAAAATACATTCTCTCCTGATAATGCATTTTATTCAGAGACTGCTTTAAGCAAGGTAAATAAGGCCATAGAAGACCCTTTCATAGATTTTGGTATTGAACATCATGAAAAAATTAAAATAATAAAGCTGGAGAAGTAGAATTCTGGGAATATATTATCACTAGTTCCCATGCCTTACATCATCCAGTTATGCGCATTGTGCCTCTTTCTGATGGCCTATCTCTAAAGCTCAATTTTAACATTTCCTTTAATTTAATTTTGATGAGATAGCAGTGTAAAACAAACCACAATACTATCTTTCACTGCCATTTTTGCTCATAAAAAGTGGTCTTTTTGTTTAGGTTGTACCGCCTGAATTATCTTTTTCCCATGCCTAGAGTGGTTACAGTATATGTTGTTGATAAAATGGGCAGCTGTACAAAGAAAACCTTGATATTGATAATAAACACAGGGCTGAGATTTTCAAATTGTCATGGAGGCACCTGGTTGAAATGAAGTAAACATTTCAATTTAACTGTGAGTTTGGAATAAAAAGAAGTGAGAATCTTGTTTTCTAAATGGTTCATCATTTTGAAGTATGAATGTTGAGTGGAGGTCCTTGAATTTTAGTAAGCCATGTATTTCAGCAGTGCTTTGGGGCGGGGGGAATCTTTTTGAACTCAACTTCAAATCATTTTTATTTTAGTACCTTGCATCCTGAAAATTCTGCAAAGTACATCATTTTGGCCAGACCTTCATGAATCTTCAGATTTTTTAAAATTCTGTTTACCATCTTCTTTAATTGAGTAATTTTAAGTACAATGTGGCATCATTAAAAAAAAAAAGAACATTTCAATATGACTGTAATTCTACTACATTGATATACCAAAGCCTGGAAATAGTAAATTTACTTCTGTAGCCCACCTTGAAATATTTTGATACAGTTTTTGTTTTGTTTTGTTAACTTATATTTTTCCTCATGCATAGTCTCTTTCTCTGCCTACATTATCTGATTATATTTTAGGCTTTTAAGGAATTACCCAGTGTCTCCAATATAAAAGTTTTTATGGAATTTCAGAATTACTTGTTTGTATTTTAGGAGAACTCATCTCTATGTAACAGTACACTCAGAAACCAGGGAAGAAGCCACACCGTGGAAGGACTTCCTTACCTTCTCCCGCACTGCTGTTACCCGTTAGAGGCAGGGGGCAATCTATAGGGTTTTCTTAATGTGAACATTTTTAGAGAATAGAAAATAACTTGTTAGGTTATTTTATTTAGGAAAGATAATGATGATTATGAAACATCTAGCAGGCTATTTTCTTGCTAATGTCACTAAAGTACAGGGACTTTAAGTCAGTAAAAAGGGAAAAGGTCTTTTGATCCTCCAGGGGCCTTTCTAGTTTGAATCATGACCAATCCCAGGATTTTTTTCATTATGCCCTTACTGCATTTGTTATTGGGCCTGAGCTGTGTGTTCGTATTTCTCATACTCAATGTTGACGGCACTGGTAGCTTCTTACTAAAAGGAGACACGTTTTGACTGAAAGTAAGAACAGCTTATGGCTGATGCATAATCTGGCAGAAGATGCTACCACCACCATTGAGGTTCAGCGCCCCGAAGTTTCAGTGGTGCTACAGCACATGTTCATCTGACAATCAGTCCTTTAGAAATTTATAGTCTAGCTTAGCATACTAAAAACAAAAAAGACTTCTTTTAAATTTTGCTTACGTGAAGGCTTCCTAAACTTATTTGAAAGGTGTTTGTTTGGTTTTGGATCTATCCATAGAATGATGATTCTGCGAAACACTCCAAAACAGGGTGTCTTCTGTCTTGGTAGCATAAAGAAGCAGCCCATCCATATGGATGAACTTAGCATTGTGTTTTGAAGTCTTTTTGGTCTATCTGGAGATGATTATTTTTAGCATTTTTCATGATGCATCAAGCATAATAGTTCCTGTATTAGGGCAGAACTATTATCCTTTTATATTTTAAAAATGTCTTAATTTGAGGTATTCAAGCACAGTCCAACCTTAGGACTTAGACTGAGCAGCAGGAAGCTGCTGCTAAGAACTTCTTGGTTTTCTGCTAAAATAGTTCTACAGGAGCTGCTAGCCTGCATCTGGATGGGGATGGTGTGACCTCCCCTCATCAGGCGACTTCCGAAGGGGCAGACTGGAGGGGGTACTGAGGCAGTGGTTCCCACTGGCTTAGTTTTCATACTGGCACCAGGACAAGGTTTGCCTGTTTTACCTATAGACTTGAATTTATTGCTTTTGGTAGAAAAATTAGGAATACATCTGATATATGAAGGCATGATTATAGGAATTAACTTTTTTGCAAACCTTTTTTCACCCAAAAAAGTTCTGGTTTCATAGTTTAAAGGAAGGCTAGTATTTTGGAAATGATTTAGCAGGGCTCTTATAAACCATGGTATCCTTTCAGAGGTTGCAAGCACCAGAGTACTATCAATACATTGCTGAAATTGTTTTCATAAACAGTGTGTCATCATACCTATCTCTCTGCCCAGTAAAAAAATTATCTGGGGATATTATTACAATGAAGCATCTGGGATAATGTTATGTGGAAAATCTGTGATGAATATCACAGTTCTTTTGGGCCTCATTGTAGTTGGGAAACAGAAATAATGGCATGAAGAAAATATGTTCAAGAACTCATGATGTACATTAACCTAATATTTGCTGTATTTGTTGTGTTCTTTTGAAAATGCTCTTGATTAGTGAGCTGGGGAAGAAGACTTGGTTGTATTTGTTCTTCAGTTCTGAACTTGTTTGTTCGTAAAAGTGCAGTGGCTCTGTGGTGGTTATAGTTTTTGTACAAAAGGCATTACAATTCACATCTTTCAATAGTAGACAAACAAGAAAAGATAAAATCCTTCTGATAGATTTTTACACAAGAATAGAACTGTAATTGCCATTATTAATAAAATTTCACTTGTCCGGGGCATTGAGATTAATTTTTAAAGGAAAAGATACCTTTTTGCCCTCTGCAGATTTTTACTTAAGTGATGATTTGCTGATAGGTTTTGACTTCAGTAGTAGATACAGCAGCAAAAGTGTGCACATATTTATATTTTCATCCATC